TGTGTGTGTGTGTGTGTGTGTGTGTGTGTGTGTGTAACCTCATGCATAGTGCTCGACTCCTTTAAGATGACAGTCAACACACACACACACACACACACACACACACACACACACAGGGGTCAGAGGTCAGCAGAGGCATCACTGTCATTTGTAAATGCTTGTTCATGATGTCAGTGAATGTGATTCATAATTTCTAGTTTTATTGAGCTTTTTAGTCATTTTAGCACTTAATTTATGTCAGTTTCTAATTCTAGTTTACATTTCTGAAGTTTAAGGTTTCAACTAATATATGTACATATAGTCAGACATTTACAATCAGATCAGATCACATCTGTGTGTGTGTGTGTGTGTGTGTGTGAGTGAGTGAGTGTGTGTGTGTGTGTGAGAGAGAGTCTCTGTGTTTCTCTGTGTTTGTGTGTGTGTGTGTGAGAGAGAGTGTGTGTGTGTGTGTGTGTGAGAGAGAGAGTGTGTGTGAGTGTGTGTGTGTGAGAGAGACTCTCTCTGTGTGTGTGTGTGTGTGTGAGAGAGAGAGTGTGTGTGAGTGTGTGTGTGTGAGAGAGACTCTCTCTGTGTGTGTGTGTGTGTGTGAGAGAGAGAGTGTGTGTGAGTGTGTGTGTGTGAGAGAGACTCTCTCTGTGTGTGTGTGTGTGTGTGAGAGAGAGAGTGTGTGTGAGTGTGTGTGTGTGAGAGAGACTCTCTCTGTGTGTGTGTGTGTGTGTGAGAGAGAGAGTGTGTGTGAGTGTGTGTGTGTGAGAGAGACTCTCTCTGTGTGTGTGTGTGTGTGTGAGAGAGAGAGTGTGTGTGAGTGTGTGTGTGTGAGAGAGACTCTCTCTGTGTGTGTGTGTGTGTGTGAGAGAGAGAGTGTGTGTGAGTGTGTGTGTGTGAGAGAGACTCTCTCTGTGTGTGTGTGTGTGTGTGAGAGAGAGAGTGTGTGTGAGTGTGTGTGTGTGAGAGAGACTCTCTCTGTGTGTGTGTGTGTGTGTGAGAGAGAGAGTGTGTGTGAGTGTGTGTGTGTGAGAGAGACTCTCTCTGTGTGTGTGTGTGTGTGTGAGAGAGAGTGTGTGTGTGTGTGTGTGTGAGAGAGTATCTCTCTGTGTGTGTGGGTGTGTGTGTGTGTGAGTGTCTCTGTGTGTGTGTGTGTGTGTGGTTTACGTCATTATTTTATGACCATTAAGAATTTGCGACTCTCAGGCCCCGCCCCTGTGCTGCTCTGATTGGCTCGTTTAAACTCACAGCATGTGTGACCTGCAGCAGCAGGGTCAGTCTGAGAGGGGTCGTGACCTCTGTGTGATGAGATCATTCATTAAGCCAGGCTCGTTGTGTCTGTTGGTGTTCGTTCGAGTGGAATCAGATGACAGTTTGAAGTCACTCGTCTGAACAAATAGAAATCAAGATGAAGCTCCTTATTTTATATTCATATAAGATTAATTTTTACATTTATATTTTTTATAAGTATAAAAAAAATATATAATATAATATATAATTATATATTTATACGATTACATATTATCCACAAGATGCCAGACAGATAGAAATACACCAGAAATGAAGATGAAGCTCGTCACTGTCTGTCTGTGATGTATTTTCATGGTTGTGTTTGATGCCGCTGTTCTCTGATCGTCCCGTCTCTCTCTCTCTCTGTCTGTCTGTCTGTCTCTCTCTCTCTCTCTCTCTCTGTCTCTCTCTCTCTCTCTCTTTTCTTGGTTGATTTAAACTATTCTTGTGGGTAATATAAGTTGTATGAAGTCTTTTTGTTTTAAATTGGTCAGAACTGGATGTCTGTCTTATTTTAAAACAATATTAAAAGTAAAATAATCAGGAGCTCATCTTGTTGCTGCTGCTACTCAAATGGAACTCTCTCTCTCTCTGTCTCTCTCTGTCTGTCTCTCTCTCTCTCTCTCTCTCTCTCACTCTCTCTCTCTCTCTCTCTCTCAGCCCGTCCTGAACCGCGCAGGTCTCCCTCAGGGCCCATCCGATCAGAAGTTCGTCGTGGTGACGGTGGACGATTGCGACACGTCGGTGGCTCTGCGCTTCAGTCACGTGATCGGAAACTACTCGTGCTCCGCCCAGGGCAGCCAATCAGGATCCAAGAAGTAAGAGCGTGAGTCTGACGAGCACTGATCGCCAGTAATAGCGCGACTGTGTAATGTTGTGTTGTTTTGCGGCAGGTCTCTGGATCTGACGGGGCCACTGCTGCTGGGCGGCGTTCCCAAACTCCCCGAGGACTTTCCCGTCCGGAGCCGGCAGTTCATCGGCTGCATGAAGGACCTGCGCATCGACCAGCGGCACATCGACATGGCCGGATTCATTGCTAATAACGGAACCCTAGCCGGTGATTAGTGCTACTGGATCTTAGCGCTGCGGTTGACACTATCGACCACAGCAGGGGTGCCCAAACTCGGTCCTGGAGGGCCGGTGTCCTGCAGAGTTTAGCTCCAACCCCCTCTTACAAGCTCTTACTAGACATACTACAAACTCTGTAGCAGGTGTGTTGAGGCAAGTTGGAGCTAAACTCTGCAGGACACCGGCCCTCCAGGACCGAGTTTGGGCACCCCTGGACCACAGCATTCTTTTGAATAGGCTAGAAAATTATGTTGGCATAAGAGGAAGTGCATTAGCATGGTTCAAATCTTACTTATCTGACCGCAATCAATTCGTAGCAGTGAATGAAGGTATCATATCGATCACAAGTGCAGTATGGAGTGCCTCAAGGCTCAGTACTAGGACCGTTGCTTTTCACGCTTCACCTGTTACCCTTGGGAGATATCATCAGGAAACAGTGTTAGCTTTCACTGTTATGCTGATGATACTCAGCCCTATATTTCTTCGCGGCCCGACGAAGCATATCAATTTGCTCAATTTCCTTCAACACACTATTTTTCTGTTTAATACTGTAAAGCTGCTTTGACACAATCTGTATTGTAAAAAGCGCTATAAAAAAAGAAAGAAAAATTTGTCACGTTGACCATGACAATGCTATCCCGTAATGAGTGTACGATGTGTTTTCCCAGGATGTTCTGCGAAGCGTCATTTCTGCAGCACTAACCCGTGTCTGAACGGCGGCAGCTGCGTCGATCTGTGGGGTTCGTTCCGATGCGACTGTCCGCTGGGATTCGGAGGACGAAACTGCGAGAAAGGTGAGCGAGCGTCACGTGAGCCGCGCGTCCGTTAGCGGCAGATCGGTCATTAACAACACCTGTCTGTCCGCAGTGATGCCCAACCCCCTGCGTTTCCATGGTAATGGCCTGTTGTCGTGGCGGGATCTGGCCTCCAAGGTAACGGTTCCGTGGCACCTGGAGTTCATGTTCCGCACGCGACAGCCGACGGCGACGCTGATTCAAATCAGTTCAGCGCAACAGCACAACCTCACCATACAGGTGCAGTTAAAACACACACTTCATATTCACACCGTTTTTACAAATGATGGCTTTAGCTCTGTTACTGATACAAATACGCCACCAAAATATGGTTAGTTTGGTACACACACACACACACACACACACACACACACACACACAGATAAACACACACAGCTGATCAGCTTCAGCAGGTAGGTGCACTGACTGATTTTTGTATGTGTCTGCAGCTCCACCTGCTGGCTGTGTGTGATATGACACCTTACACACAGCAAACCTGGGTTTAACAAGCAGTTTTTGTTATTAGATTTGAAAAACAACTTTTTTTGTTCTATGTATATGTATTTCCTATTGACATTTGGAGTGGGACATTGATAAGTTGATACTTGATTCATATAATATTTTACATGAATATATTATACTCTCATATGTATGATTCATCGTAGAGCGTGTTTGATAGGACAGGTGTTTGTGAATTGAGTGATGATGTCATCAGTGTTGTTTTGGTCTGTAAATGATGAATGGACGTCACTGAGTGTGTGTGTGTGTGTGTGTGTGTGTGTGTGTCAGCTGAGGGAGGGTTACGTGTTGACGTCGGTCCAGCGCGGCGAGGACTCCACCGTGTCTCGTGTTGATGATGTCACAGTGAGCGATGGCCAATGGCATCATCTGTTGCTGGAGCTGCGGGGCCCCGCGGCGGGCGGCGTAACGGCGGCGCTGAGCCTCGACCACGGCCTGTACACGGTCAGACATGATACATTTGACCTCGTCTTAAAATATTACTACATTTATTATTTTATAGTTTAATACACTTAAAATGTTTTGTAAAGAGTGAATTTATTTACCAATTTAATGTAGATGTAATGTGTGTGTGTGTGTGTGTGTGTGTGTGTGTGTGTGTGTGTGTAGTCGTCTATGGATCTGGACTCTAAGCTGAAGGGTGTTAAACTTAAGACTGTGAGTGTCGGCGGAATCACAGACAGCAGGAATAAAGTCATCAGTGGATTCAGAGGATGTGTTCAGGTGATACACACACACACACACACACACACACACACACACACACACACACACACACACACAC